CCGCGGCTACCGGTAGCCCATGCGGTCGCCTGGCTGCGTTGCACTAGAGTCCGCCATGGCCCGCCCGTTAGTCCGAAGGCTACACAGGCGGGCCATTTTTTTTTAATTTTTTTTTTCGCCTTCTAATTTAGATTTGTCTGATCAGGAACAATGTCGATGATATTTTTGGGTTTGTTTGGGGCGTCGGGATACCGTTGATAACATAGCCAAGACAAGGAAAAAAAAAAAAAAAAAAAAAACCTAAACCATAGCCGAGACGAGCTGGCCTATCCTGCAAATGAAGTGGAGTATTGGGGGGTTGTGACTGACCTTTGAGGGTTTGGGCCTTGAGAAGGGTATAGGGGCTAGGAGGGTAGCGATTTGATCTGAAAGGGGGGAGGGGCACAGGTGAAATTTCAGAAAATTTCAAAAAAATTATGTGGTTGATTTCAAAAGAGTCACCGCTTAAAAAAAAAAAAAGAAAAAAAAAAAGTCACGGGATTCAAAGAAAAGAAAAAAGAAAGAAAGAAAGAAAGAAAGGAAAAAAGATGATGCCTAATTAGCATGAGTGGAATTAAATCACAGAGAGGATCAGATATTAAACTGATCAGAAAACGAGAAAAAAAAGAAAAAAAAAAAGAAAATGAGTTATTGAGCTGCGTGCCCACCTCATCAGGGGCCTGGTCCCATTAGCACAAAGAGGATTGGATTTAATTCCCGAATCTGGACTTGATTGTGGACAGAAGCAGAAAATTGCGATTGATCTGCTTTTCTGCATCTCTGCACAAAACACATCCAGATTCAGGAATTAAATCCAATCCTCTTTACTAATGGGACCAGACCCCTGGCGTAACTATTCTTTTTGGCCTTTAACTATAGAATACTACCGTGCGGTGAGTGTGAAAAAAAAAAAAAAAAAAAAAAAACGAAAAAAAAAAGGGAAAAAGGATCAGAAGAAGAAAGACAAGATCAAGACCGTGGTCCCATTAGCAATTAGCATCGGATTGAATGCCTGAATCTGGACGTGTTTGACGACAGGATCACGAAATCGAGATCGAACTGCTTTTCTGTATCTCTGCATAAAAGATGGCCAGGATTTCTATCCTATTCCCTTTGCTAGTGGGACCACGGCCCAAGTGTAGTATCTGTTCTGATCAGTTTAATATCTGATCCGTGGTCCATCGGGCCA